AATTAGGAAACGTAACTTCTCTTTTCATTAAAAAAATAAAATATTCAAGACTATCAGCTTTTATATAAAATATCAGCAAGCCCAAAAAACAAAACAATTGTTGAGGTAACTTCATACCTTGAGGTAGCTTTTCCCCTCCATTATTCTCTCATTTCTTTTTTCTTCTTCTTTTTCCTCCTTTCCCTTAAAACACAAAGCAATGCCTGACATTTCTGTACATGCCCGTTCTTGCAAGGTTTCAGAAAAAAAGGAAAGCAGCCGCTTCAGTGTAAACAGCAAGATCCATGCAGCCACTTTAGCTTCAATTCAAAGATGTCATTCGGGTAACAGGCATATGGAAATACACTGGACCTGGATTTGCTAGTTGTCACAAACAGCCCAGTCCCAAAAACATTGTTAAACCTGGACAATCGATGAGTCAATATATAACAAAAGTCTTGTCTCTGCTAAGATATAAATATATCAAGACAAAGAGGGATAATTTGCCCCATATTGTTACTTATTTCCTTTTTAAAGAAATTACAAAATTAGAATGCAACATGATTTGCACTCTGTGTTAATACATCTGTAATCAAATGAATTAATGTTTACAATTTCCATGCCTTGAATCGCTGCCAAGTGTCAAGTTATTTCATTAGCATTTTTAAGAAGCCTAACGCTCAAGAATCCACGTAAAACACAATGTCCATATTTAAATTAACAGGGCTTTTGCAGCCACTGAATGAAATTCAAACCATTGACTTGATTTTTCCATTAATTTGGCAAAAGTATACAATTTGTTGCTTTCCAGGGTATGTAATGACCACTCTGGGGCAAACAGCTTTCCATGTCCACCGATCAAATTGCCTTGAGGTAGATAAGGATGCAAGAGTTTTTTTTTCGTTGGGTGGACCTTTTCAAATCAATTCCGTTACATTCGTGCTGGTTGTAAGGATTCAAGGCTCTTTTGGGGAAAATAACTTATCCTCAGAGGAACAGTTTAATTGATGCCCAAGTCAATGCAGAGACAAAACTTTGTTCTGGGCTCAGGCTGCCAGGTGAGCAGTTCCTGCTCTTCATAAATTCTAAAAACCCATTGTAAATATTTTAAACATTTTTTTTCTTTTTAAAGTTTGCATAAGAGTGACTGGGATTAGTAACCATATTACATTCTTCTGATGTCTATATTTGGTATCGCCTCCTAAAGAAAATCAATAACTTTGTGGCAGAAAATATATATATATAAGCATTTCAAAATTAGGGGGTTGTTTGCTATTATTTTAATCACACCAATTCTTTCATTAATAATCGCTTTTGGTTTCATTTTTAGGCCCCATTGTTTTTCTTCCTCCAAGCCGAAAAAGAAACAGCAATTTCTCTATGCATACTTGCTATTTCTTTCATTCCTTCTGGAGGTAATTAGTTCCTTTTCTGGGGATTATCTGACACATTGGTTTGTCTTCTACAGAGATAAACTGGCACTAATTTTAATCTGGAGATTAAGTCCTTTACTGTGCAATCCAGTACATACCTGGAATTCAATGCCCAAGGTGTAAGGTTGTGCTGGTAAGTCAACCATTTTAATCTCATAGTTAAGATCAATGAAGTAATCATTTGTTTGAACTCAGATAAGATGTTCTGTGTATCTTCACTCATTCAAGTATGGGGAAGACTGCTCCCTAGAGAAAAATCTCCCAGTAACAACTCCAAGAGTGCCTACATTAAAGGCACTTTTTGTAAATGATCCACAGATTTTAGTGCACCAATTTGTAAGTGTTTTGTTATTCTCTGTATCAAGACAGGAACTAGTACTTCTCCTTTTTGGTATGACTAAGCACTGAGGTTCTTCTAAAGATAGGATAACATATGAAAAGAGATAATTTCTGATGTTATTAAAACTCTGGAGGAAGTATAGCAAGTGATGTCCCCTGTCTTGAACCTTTCCCAGCAGCATAACACTGTCTCATGATAGAAGCGTCTGAAGTGGACAGGAGCCCTGACCATTCTTGGGGGGGAAAAGGACCTAGGTTGCTACATTCTAAGGTCCTTTGATTGTGAAATCTATATGGCAAGTAGCCTTGAGGTATATCTTTCTTTTGCAACCAATGTACTATCCCACACTTCCCCTAAAATGTGTTTAAAAGTCAGGTACATGTAATGTACCCCAAACACTTATGCATATATTGAGTTCTTACTCTCCACTGAGGAGGAAGCAATAATTACATGGACAGAGGAAGCCATGGAAACTGGCAATCAGGAAGAGAATGAGGCATTTTCAAATGATATCTCAATAGACAACACTTTTGAGGCTGAGATTCTCCAAGATTGGCAGACCTCTTGCTACTTTATCTAAAGTTGCCATTCAACAATTAAAGTAGGATGGCTGCAACCTCTCCAAATATAGTAACTACAGGTCATTTGCTAGCGATCATACAGCAGTAATTGCAATTTCTCTTCAGTAGCAGTCAAGGGCAAGTTGATTTACCATTGGGGAAAGGCTGAACTGAAGGAGATCTAAATGCTATTTATCTTTAGACTGCAGTTCACAATTCATTGCTTCATTGTATCGACTTTAAAATTCGGGTAAAGCAGTTTTTCCCAATCTTGCGCCTTCCAAATATGTTTGGCTTCAACCCTCAGAATTTCCCAACCAATAAAATGTTAGGAAGTACTGGAACTGAAATCGAACGCATCAGGAGGAGAACAACAGATTGGGGAAAACTATACATCTTCCAGAATCTATAATAAATCCTAAGTCACACTTATTTTTACAGAGCGTGTAACTTCATCTGAAAACATTCAGTGTACTAACCACAGGAAGAAGCAAAAGTCCTGAAATGTTAAAACGTTAAACACTAGTGAAATAGGAATAGGATTTGCATTTGTGTTTGCCTGGAATAGGGATTTTACTGTGGCTTGGACTTATATGTCAAAACATGTAAATACCAAATTAGAGGCGAGGATACTGGACATTAAGCCACTTTTCACAAAATGAAAAGTAAAGCCACTTTATCCATTGAACTGGAAATAATTTGAATCTGACGACTTAATAGTTCAAGAGAATTAAAACTCTATGGCCACTTGCGACAATTTTTGTCTTTCATTAACCATCTCATTAAGAATATACATCTTAGGTGGAATTAAAGCATATTCTTCACTGATTGATTTTCTAATTATTTCAATACTTTTTCTAGCTTAACAAAAGGAATAGGGGAAGGGGAGAGGAAGAGAGATGGATAGACAGATGTGCTATTTATTTCCTCAATTATGGATCAACCATGGCTCAATTCAGATATCAGACAAAACTCCTTTGTAATAAAATCATGTTTTGTTATTTGCCAAGCATACAAAAATCAGAAACCCAGGCTAAAAATCAATTTGAAAGGTCAATTTTGAGGTGGTTTATCATGTAAAGAGAGCCATTTTAAGACCATGCCGTATTATAAAAAATATAGTATTAACAATGGAAAGCAGATAAATAAATAAATAGTTAGGTGTGGACAACACAAAGAGCCACGGTAATTTAAGAAGGATTTACTGAATAATCAAATTTTCTTGTTTGGACAAAGCTCTTAAATCTATTAACCACAATTTGGATAAATTTGCAGAGTACACCAAGTTAGTGTTTTAACTTAGCTTAGCCTGTTGTATGAATCTTGACCATGAATTACCTACATATTAAGAATATCAAATCATGGCGTAGGTTTTAAATTAAAAAACAGCTTGAATTCTTAATTTTGGAGTCCCACAATTCATGATTTGGTATAAATTTCTGAATTGAGCCAGTGCACCATTCCAAGAGAGAGTACCAAAAAGTAAAATTTGTTTATTTTTTTCTCCCTATTTTTATAAACTTTTAGGACAACTGAAACACGCAGCCAATTTGAAGAATGTAATCTTTCCTCGTATTTTGACAACTTCCAAGGAAGTTGGGAAAAAGTTATCGTATTAATATGTAGAATGAATTCTAGACATTCAAAACATTTTTAAAGAGACAAGATGCCTCTCAGGGACATATGGATGTTAAGAGAGAAATTGCATTGGATTCTAAATGTAAAGTTGAATGACCTTCCTGTAAAGCAGAGATGGTCCACTGAGGATATGCAGGTCTAGAGTCAGTCTTTAGGCTCCAGTGTTTTCTCCCAGACACTGGATGGAACATGAAAATCACCCAATCAGATTGTTGAGCTCATTCTCCCATAGTGGCAATGTAGCCAAAGTGTCCAGATGGGGAAGCCTAGATTAGAACAATGGACAGCTCCACTGTATGCCAATAGAATTATTGGGGGGGGGGGATTTTTGACACCTGACTTTCATAATTGTAAGGACATAATACTGTATCTGTCTGTGAAGATTCTCTATTATCCAGGTCATACTTGTTTCAAAAGTGCTTTCCCCCCCCTCCAAAATGCAACTGGACTGTTATTTCCTCAAGGAAAAAGAAAGTGTTTCACTTTTCATCCAAGAAGCTTCCTCAGTTCTGATGGTGGGGAGATGGATAGGTACTGTCAATTGAGACTAGATGCTGGGGCAGTGTGAAGTGGAAGAATAGGTTCTGATAGGATGTGAAGGGGAAATGGAAGGATTGTACTTCTTAGCACTCTCTTAGAGATATTGAGGCCACTACCTTAGGGCACAGATAAACTCCCAAATGGCAATAGCTCTAAGATAAAGCCACTAGATTAGAGCACAGATAGATTGGGGCACTAGATTAGGGCACAGATAAACCCTCAAAAGACCTCAATAGCTCTCAGAGTACTAATGACCAGATCATTGCAAAGGAATACAAAGTTTCCACCACCACTCCCATCCTATCAGAACCTATCCTTCCATTCCCCTCTCCCCCACCATCCAGTCTCAATTTTCATCCCCCACCATCAACTGATGAAGCTTCCTGGATGAAAAGCGAAACATTTTCTTGTGCCTCTTCAAGGGGAAAAAAAAAGGAGTCTGATTGCCTTTTAAAGAAAAAAGCACCTTTGAAATAATACTGTATCACATAGAAGCCAATTATCTGGAAAATATCAGATAAGAAAGCCTATTGAGGAGGCTGGTTCCATCCTCTGCCCTTCTCTTGCCAAGTGCAAATATTAACTGCAATTCATGCTAGGGGCAGGGTTGTCCAAGTAAATCCTGAAACTATTGGGGGTGGGGAAGGAAGTATTAAGTTTTTTTTAAAAAAAAATTGGCCTTGATCTGGTAAAGCATGAATACTTCCATGTGTAAGCTTCTTGCTTTCCTAGATAAAATCATGATCCTATGTAGTTTGATATTCTGATAGGAGTAATTTGATTAGGAACTTTTTGTTTATTGCTAAACCAAGTATACCCCCTCTCCGCCCCAAAAAAGGAATACCATGTGAAAATACCTTTGTGTGAGAGGCCACATCTGTACGGAAACAGATATGTATATGCTCATGATAAGAGTAAAACACCCATCTCCAAAAAATTACTAAGACCTGCCTACGGTAAACTGAATCCCAGCCACTCTTAGGGTTCTGAAATAGATTATCATTCTTTTCTGCTTGGCTTTGTTTCATCCATTGTCATTGTTGTTCATCCATTTGTCCATCTCTCTCTCTCTTCTTTCACACACCCGGGTACAAGTCATTTCCTATTTCCTTCGTGCTTGTGTCTGGTTGTTCTGTCCCTTTTGATGCTGTTGTTTCACCTGAGCAAGGATATCACGTATTTTGCGTTGAGCCATCTGGTAAAAAAGAGTGATGGGAGATTGAGCAGGGAAAGGAAGATAAAGACAGATAAGACAAATAACTCTCTTTCCTAACTCTAGGAATTATGGTAATTACTTTTCAACAATTCTAGAGGAGGATACTAGCTAGGTTTCAAATGGGTGGCTTATTGAATCAACTAAGATTAAAAAAAACACCACGATTTGACATTATTATCAATAAAGTAAGAATTCAGGTAATTACAAGTTTCTCTTTGTTTCTTACCATAAATTATAAGCAGTTATAAACACAATGCTTCCCAATTAGTGTTTTTCCAACTTTGCAACTTTGTTGCTGATTTGAAACCCCTTATGCAACCCTTTTTTGCACAAAACAGAAAAAAAAATGAATTTAAGATTTATAGTTTTGATGATTAGAAACAATGTATTGTAGAAACAAGATAGTTATGTAGTAACCCTAGTATAAAAGGTAAATTAATGACTGCTTGAAACTGTTGTAAGGTAAGGAGCTATTTCTTTGTAACGTTTTTCTTTTCTATATTTCTTTTAGTTTTTCCTTTCTTGCATTTTTAGTTTTCCTTTATTTTTTCCATTTCTTTTCTTTTGCTTACTTTAGTTTAGTTTGTGTTCTTTTTTATCTTTCTTTTTCAAAATTTTAAATATGTATGTGCTTTTGTATGTTTGTGTCCGAGGGAGAAAAGATAGAGAGAGAATATTTACTACTATCATATTTTTGCTTGGAATAAACTGTTACTGGATGTTCCTTCTTTAACCTGAATATAATAATATGCATAATCTTATGCATAAGGTTCTGAAGAAACTGGGAGTGGGGTTGAGATGGGGGGGGGGGTAGGGAGCATGTCATTAGAAAAATATACATAGAAATAGTGCTCTGCCTTGCTATCCATCACTCTATCTTGGATTACTATGTAGGCCTTCTCTCTTAACTTGAGACACTGTTGGTCAATGTCAAATCGGGTTGGAAGAAGAGGAGACTAGCCTCATTTACACCTGTGAGATCCAACCAGGTCTGCCTAACCAGGTATTTGGCACAGCAGCAGCTCAGTTCAGAAAGACAAAAAGGAGAGGGGGACTCATCTATCAGAATTTCATCTCATCCAGGAATCTCAAAACTGATTTTGGGCTGATTTTTGATCCCCGACAAAAAACAAGGATTTCACTGATGAATCACCTGCTCTGCTGTTCAATGTTCTCCTTGGCTCAGCTAGTGAAGAAAATCTCTTAAGGTCATCATGGAGAATCCCAGGAAACATCAATATCCCTGCAGTGGCTATTCACTCAAGTGCATCTCAGCTATTGGATACTCTCAGAACATAATAGGTCCAAAACATAGTACAGAATTGAATCCCAATCCAGTTTGGGGGAGAAACCAGAATGGAAGTGATCCAGTCATTAATGCTTTAAGAATCCACCTTTCTTGTGGATGGGCCTTAAGGCAGGTGGATTCTCTTAAGAAAATCCACCTCTGTCATGAAATTTAATTATCTAAGATTATGAGATTTAATTATCTATGGCCAAGCCCCTTCAAGTCCCCTTGAAAAGGAAGGCAAGGAAGTTCTATTTCTAATTCCTACTAATGTGCCAACTGCAGCTCTACTTGAGTTAAGGTAGCCTAGTTGCAGTGTTCCATGTCTTACTAGTCTCATAACCAGATTACTATATTGCATGCTATGTGAAATTACTTTTAAAGATGGTCCACAACTTGCAAATAATCAAGAGTTAACCAGACTGGTTAAGTGGGACTATGTAATACACATCAAAAAATCTTCACCCAAAAAATTCGAAATGGTTTGAGGCCAAAACACGTGCAAGTGTGACCACCCCAATCCCATGTAATTTAAGCACTGAAATTATTCAGTAGTTCCTACTAGGATCACTTGATGAAACAATAGCTGGGAATTGGATTTTCTCAATAATTATACTGGCAAGTTTTCCTATCCTTAAATCTGTAAATCCTTACAGCTTTAATGCCTCAATTAGTTATTGAACTTTTTCTTATGGGAATACAGCTGCCCCCACAAACTCCTTCTTTTAAATAGTAACCGAAGATCTGCATATTTGTCTGGGCATTTGGAAAAAAAACCAACACTTTTAATGACTGGAGTTTCTGATATATTGCCTATTTTATTGTTTTTTTCAAAGTTAACTTTGTTTTCATTTGTGTGTTTATAGTTTTTAAGAATTGTTGGTTTATTTAACTTTATTTGATATAGATTTTATTGCTCTTTTCTCAACCAAGCTGGGCTCATCCAAATTAATATTAATCCGCAGCTTAGCAAAAAGGCAGCTGGGGGCTCTGCTTTTTAAAACCACTTGGGGGGCACCACAAGTGAGCATGGTGGTGCTGCAATAACATCATCAAAGACATGGGGTGAGATCTGGGGCCATTTTTGATATTATCTGCCCAGTAAAGTTGATACAATAAACCTAGCTGAGGCTTAAGAGACCTAATCACTATTTATCTTTGAAAGGCAATGTAATGTTGAAGGAGCAAGCAATGCTGATCTCCTGCCAAGAAGGAACTGAGAAACTGAATGCCACAACAAGCTGCCTGCCTCCTTGTCTAGCATCAACTCTGAACCAAGTCCATATTAGCATAGTACACAGTGATCTGTATTAGCTGCTACCTGGCTAGCATAGAAATGTCCGATGATTTTGACAATGACTTGCTCATTCTCATCAGGGGTTTGATCCCGGGGAACAACTACCTCAGCTGCTGTCAGGTTCTGAAGTTCGTTGACCTAGAGACAAAACGTAAAATAATTTTACCGCATTTAAAATAGCAATAGCAATAGCACTTAGATTTATATAGTGCTTCACAGCCCTCTCTCAGCAGTTTACAGTCAGCCTACGGCCCCCAAAAAACTGCGTCCTCATTTGACTGACCTTGGAAGGCTGAGTCCAACCTTCAGCCTGGTGAGATTCGAACCGCCAAATTGCAGGCAGCCGGCAGTCAGCAGAAGTAGCCTGCAGTACTGCACTCTAACCACTGTGCCACGATGGCTCAAAATGCTAATTACTCTATACTGAAAAGAACCAACAGATTTGTAAATACCCTATTTTGTGGTCATTTCCCACTCTATTAGGACACACAATTCCAGCTGGCTCATAAATCACTATGCAGAAATTTAAAAAGAATTATTTTTGAAATTGTGCCATTACCTTCAGTGTTCTTACTTTCATATACATTAAAACTTGGGCCCACACTTTTTGTTTTTAAAGAAATAAAGCCCACTAAATAAGGCACAATTGGCTAAGCTGGCGCAATGCTTCAAGTTAAAATCAGTGAAATATGTGATGGTTTAATGCCAACCATGAAGTCAGTCTTAAAAGTTTATATTGTAAATTTAGAAGACGGGCCTATACATTTGAACATTAGTTTAGGTATAATTAGGATTTATAATAATCATAATTATGATTTCAAACTATGAGTTGTCTTTCCCATGACCATAGAGCAACACCACAAACAGTACAGTGGGACCTTGGGTCCCAAACGGCTCAGAAAACAAACAATTTGGGTGCCGACAGAAAAATCTGCTAAATGCTTCACTCACATCATGAATACATCCTCTGGTGCTGAATAAACACAGTAACGATGATTTTCCCTGCCACAGCAATTTCCCCTTCCATGCCATTTTTGTGTGCGCGCGGATCTTGCTTTTGATCATGACCAAATTGGGTGCCTACCGAAGTCCTGGAACCGATTACAGTCAGCACCCAAGGTCCCACTACATTTTGCTCGCTAAAAACTACAAACAGTAAGCAAACTAGAACCATATTAGAGCCTGGAATTTCTATCCTAAACCCTGATTGAGACACCCATGTGACCAGACCCAACTTTACAACTTTTGCAGTGGTGATTAAGCAAATGCTATAGTTATAAAGTGAATGTGGTGGTTGTTAAACAAATCAATGTATATCTATGACTATTTCTTACAAGAAACCAGCCAAAAAAACAAACAAACCCTGGAGACCAGTGAAGTCATAAATTATGGCCACATGACTATGGAATGCTGCAGCTGGTCATAAAGATGAGCTGCTTGCTAAGTGCCTGAAATGTGGCTATGTGACCACAGGGAGTGAGCACAACCAATGAAACTCTGAAACTGAGTCATAAGTATCTTTGGGATAGTCCCATCATAACTTTAAATGGTGGACCGTTGATCTCCTTCCAATCTGATTTCAGATCTTGGTTTCTGACTGCTTTCACATTGCTAATTTAAACAATATAGGTAACCACAATATAGCCTGATGTTAATGTTAAAATCTCCTCAGAACCTTCTGTAGATACCAATTTGAAGCGTGCCTTAAATTTTAACTGTGCTTTAGTTGTCAAGCATTTGGGAGAAAGATCTGCATCATGCTGACCGTCCATTACTTAATACCCCACCTTGGGCCACAGGCAAAGCAACCCATTCTCAAGGCTTCCCCCCACCCCCAAGATGACTCTTTCCACAGCCCAATCCTGCACTCACTGTTTTGCCTCCTTTGCCAATGACTCTTCCTGCTGCTGAGGCAGGGACTCGGATGTGCGTCTCAAGTTTCACTTCTTCTTTGGGCCCAAAAAAGTTCTCCTCTTTCAGCTTTCCATAAATTCGTCCTTGAGCCTGAAAGAAATCAAACCACCAAATAGCAATTAAATAGGTGGTCCATTTCCTCTGAAATTACAACACGCTTTAGCTTTATCTAATACCGGAAGAGCGGTATTAATTATTCCTTGACATAAATACATACCAAAATAGCTCATCCTTCTTATTGTTTGTTCTCTAAACCTAGATTGTAAGCCAATATCTATGGGTGCCTTCAAGTCATTGCTGACTCTTAGCAACTAATCCCTGCGGTTTTCTAGGCAAGAATTTTGGAAGTGATATGCCTTTGCTTCCTTCTTCCTAGGGATTAGAGAGACTGGTCCAAAGTCACCCAGCTGGTATCACGTAGTCCTATACAGCAAGACTACAGTTCACAATCTAGACTGATACATTAACTACTAAACCAGACTTCCTCTCTAGGAATGATAATAGTGATACTTAAATAATAAACATAATTAAATATGGTAGCAGAACACAAAATTAACAGCTGGGCACAAACTCAATTTATTTAAAACTAGGTTTTTTGGCTTTCTGTCATGTTAAAGATTAACATCTGGCAGTAACTTCTAAAAGGATTCTGAGGACTGCATAGAGTCCTGGAGTAGCAGGCTATCAGTCTGGTTTCTGTACATGTACTCCTTGTTTAGTGACCACCACTGGACTAGCAACTTCATCGTTCAGCAAAGTGATTACTAAGCCTTTGTTTGCTTTAGCGAACTGCAAAGGTTATAAATGCAAAGAATGGTCACAAAGTTAACTCTCTCATCACAGTCATAATTGCAAACAGCTACTAAATGAGGCAGTTGCTAAACAAGGACCACCTGCAGAACTTTGGTATGGCTTTGTTTTTGTTACGATTTCTTTCTATGATGCTTTCATTCTGGGAGCCATGCTAAAGAATTACATTTTAGTAATTTCAGTAATTGTAACTTCCTCTATATATAATTCACAGGAAAAAAGAAACCTTAAACTGGGCTTCTGGTGGTCCAGTGATTATCACCATTCGCACTTTGGAATCTGGAGTCTCGGGAGGAGCAATCTAGAGAAGACAAAAAGAGGCAATGAAATGAAATACTAATCTGTCTAACAACAATGTCCAAGCTGAGCAGGGAAGATGGATCTAGTCGTGAAAATAAGAATTATGATTAATTTTTTAAAAAAAAACAATGGTGATGGTGATGTCCTTCCAAAAATATTTCCCAGATTTACTTACAAACAAGTTAAAAATGCATTATTAAATTCACCAATGCAGTTATTAGGAAGTTTCTGCCTTGTTTTCAAAAACCAATACAGCTGTAGCTATTGCATAAAAAGTTTAACAGCAATCACTAGCTAGCAAAGCTTAAAGTATTGAAGCAACAAAAAGTTATGGACACCTTGATTGAGGCACTTGCGAATCTGGAGAGTTGTTTGATGTGCTGACCCTTCTTGCCAATGATTGCGCCTACAGCCTGGGCAGGGATGAAAACATGTACGGTCTCTTGCTCAGGAGGCTGCCAAGAGAGTAGTTTTATGAATACCAATCAATGTCAGAGAAACCGGACATTCTCAATTGACACTCTGAATGGCTAAAAACAAATTTCTACTACTATCCATTATGGGCTGAAGTGCAATGATGCCATTACATGTTTAGTGAACTCAGCATGAAAGGAAGCGATGATGATAAATGCAGATGGGAGAAATGATAGGTGAATTTGGCTAGAGATAAAATAGAATTGAAGTGTTTATAATAACAGGAAGCAACAAATTAGGAAGGATAGTTATGAAAGCTCAATCAAACCATCTCTTTACTGTGTTCATGCTCAGAAGCAAATATATAAACCTCATTGAAAAGAATGTATTGTACTGAGGAGCCCTTGTGTCGCAATGATTAAAGTGCAGTATTGTAAGCAAACTCTACATACAGCCTTAGGTTCGGTCCTGAAGAGGCTAAAGGCTGCCTATCATCCTTCTAAGATTGGTAAAATGAGAACCCAGATCTGGGATCAAAATGCAAATAGTGCCTACACTATAAACTTCCCAGAAAATGCTGAAAAGTGCTATGAGGCAGTATAAACATCTAAATACTATTGCTATTTTACATACTTTTCTGATACACTTCTGACATTACAAAATTCAGTGAAACACTCAGATGGAACCCCCTTTTAAAATCTTCTCCATTTTGCAACTGTCCAATCTTGTATCCAGACATTCTGTGAAATAAAATACAAACCTCAAAAGAAAAAAAGATTCTCAACATCTTGAAACCCTGGATGCATTATATGCATTTTGCTGGATGTAACCAAATTTAGTGGAAGTCAAATATGCAGCTTAGAGAAAGCTATACAAACATTCCATCAAGATAAACTGCCTCTTTTTTGTTAAGTGACTGACAATTCTATACTATGAGTTGTTTATATAGAAACAGAGCTCAACATTACCAAAAAAGAATTATATGGAGCTGCTCCAGAAACACTACTTGGAGGCGGCGGCACTGCATTGGAAGAGGCAGGAAAGAGACCAACAGCAGCTAGGTTGAGACCAGGTATCAAGTGTGATTGTAGCTAAAATAAAAACAGAGAAAACAAGACGAAGAAAAGGAGAATGGGATGTTATTTTTCATTAAAACAGTTACCTGGGACTCAACTAACAACTCTGAAATGCTTACAGCAAAGATCACTTCATTTTTCTTTAAACAAGCATACTTAATATTATGCATGAAAGCTCTTGCTTTGAAGTGATGTTTCTATTTTTATATGCCATTCTCAAGATGGTCCATAACTCCTTTAGACGTTTGAGTCTGCTTTATTATTGTTTTAATTAATTTATTAAACTGTTACGGCCACCCAAAAGATGGCTTAACAAAAATGGAATCCCTATAAATAGGCAGCCTAGACTAAAACAAGTAGAATAAACAAAAATTATAACAGCCCACCACCCCCAAAATGCAGAACACATTCAAGAAAAACCCTAGGCCTGGGAACAGAGTCAGGTCTTAAGGAGGGGAATGCTCTTCTGGAGGGTGACACAGGGACACACCTCCTTGCTCCCACATGATGGCATCATTTAAATAAAGAGATCTGCAGCATTCTTCCTGCTCAAATTTACAGATGGACAGAAAAAACTGAAGGGAGGTGGTTTCTCATATAACCAGGCCTTGAGCCAAGAAAGACTAGGTTGTTATTCTCTGCTAAATATCTTCCCATTACTTTATACAGGCAATCTCAATTTACAACCAATTTGTTTACCAATCTTTCAAAGCTACCACAGCCCTGAAAAACGTTACATACAACCAGTCCTCGTTAATACAACCATTGGAGCATCCCCATGGCCATATGATCCAAATTCAGGAGGTTGGCAATTGGCATGTATTTACAATGGCTCAGAGTCCTGTGATCTATTATTTAATAGGGGAAATCAGATTTATTGAAGGACCATATGATTCACTGAGTGATTTACCCAACTGTGGCAAAAAAAGAGATAAAAGTAGGCCCAACAATCACCTCGCTTAGCAACAGAAATTCGGGTGGTTGTAAGCTGAGCCTCTTTCGCCTGTGAACCTTTCCAGTTGGAAAATGTTCTATATCTGTTCATGATTTATTCTCGGAAATTTAAGATTGGGAAGCCAGAGAGTCTACAGAGCCAGATGGGGCGAATGTACAATGAAAGGGTAGAATTTGCACACTTTGCCAATTATGTGCATCTTCCCCCAAGAATTTCACCAATAATTTTCTCCTACTCAGATTAGATTCAGTTCCACTACATTCTTTATTCCTGACTTCAATAAAGGAGATCGTCTCAGTGCAAATGATGTTAATGATGGTAGGGTCTTTTGATGCTACATATTTCCCCATTACTTTATACAGTACAGACAGCCTGACTTGTGGCAAATATGGTACAACAAACACTTTCGAATCTTAAATAATGAACCAAAATAGGTACAAATACACTTACACTCATGGCTGCTACATCATTCTCATATGCCTCCCTCACTTTCTTCATAATTTCTTGCTCTGCTCTGCAGCAATTCTCGATGGAGCCTTTTACAGTGATAGTCCTTTCAGGGTTGTATAATGTCAAATCCTGAAGGCTGAGTGGGAATATCAAAACAAAAAAGTGGTTCTGTCAAAAACCCTTGCCTGACTAATCTTTCAGACTCCATTCCTGCATTCAGTTCAGCCAGTTTATCAAAGAAAGCGACCCAAGAATCTTCTTTGTCATATAATTCTAGCAATATTCATTTAAAAGTAGGTAGCACTATTACATGTTCTGGCATTATTTTTCTTCCCCCCTCCTGCCCAGTTTTTATTTTTTTTATTTTTTTACAAACATATCAATGCATGAACAGTGTTTCTATCCCTATTCTAACTTTTAATTATGCCACTATTATATTTAGAAATATTCCCTTTCTATCCATTGTCTCTTGCCCTGTTTAAAACTTTAATTGTTTGTTTATTAGCTTGCCTCTCATATTCCTCTCATTGCCTCTCTTGGATCTTTATCTCTATCTGCTTCCACAGCTTGACCAATCATTTAAACGTTTCTCCCTTCTCTGCCCTATACCATTGTCTAATTTTCAAAATATCTACTCTTGCAACATCTCTCTTCCAAAAGTCTTCCTGAAACTTCAGTTCCTTTCTTAATTCTCTTAAAATACTCCCCCTTTGGGTTGTTTCATCAGTCATTATTATTTTTATTGTTATCTCCTTGTCATCTTGTTTTATTTGTTGGTTTATCAGTTGTTTTTTTCATCTCCTTTTTCAATTGGCTCCTCCTCTTCCTGGAAATCTTGATCACTCCTTGTCCTTTGTATCATGTTTCCTAGCTCTCCATTTATGTTCTGCATTTTATTCATAATCTCCTTGTAGCCTCTTGTCAAAATATCCTTAATACTTTGAGTTATCGACGCTGTTTTTCCCCAAATTCCACTCATTTCTTGCTGGTGGAACATCTTGTTTAGTTTTATTTTGTCCCTCTTTTGTCCAATAGTCCAAAAACCATATATTCAAACCTAAAGTTACTTCTCAAAAAGTTCAATATTCATGAGTCTTTATATCCCACAGCTAATAAACCTGTTCCTTTGGATAGTCCAAAATTTTTCCAGAACCTTTTAAGTCCCTCTATAAATTCTGTCTTGCGTTGTAGCTTTCAGGAGTCACTATAGTAATAATGTCTTTCTTATTCTTACGTTTAAATCTCCAACAGCAAAGTATTTCTAGGACTTTGGGAATGGGTTATGCCTTCCTTTTGTCAGCAGATGACACTCATAAGTCAAATTTCAATATTAACCAGTTTTATCCCATTTAGGTAAATAGTTCCAGAATTTTGAAATGCCTAGCCAAAACAATGCCTGTCCAATCTAGAAATCCAATTTTCTATATTTTACAAAGTTTTTTCCTTTTCCCTTTCTTTTTCCTTCAATTTTGAAATTCTTATCATAGCTTTTAAATCGCTGTTTTTTCCTGGATATTCTTTGTAGGTTGAGTTTTAAATAAAAAGGATTCTTCTCACCCAGTTCCAGACACTGTTCACCGACTCTGCTCCAGTATAGTTCTTAGGTGTTTCTCGGCTGTCTCAGCTTCTGGCAGCCATCTTTAGGATGCCTCTTCTCCTTGCCATGGCATAGAGGGAAAAAAGCCTGGGATTCAGCAGGAGAGTTGCAATCTCTCCCGCGACCTCCCTGGGCACCCCTCCTTAGCTTTGCCACTCTACTAGGTGGCTTTGGCTCCTCTTGGGAGCCCACAAACAGGGAAAACTCAGCACAGGGAAAATAGAAACCCGTTCCCTGTATCTGATATCGCTGTGACGTCAGCTGGAAGTCTTCTGGCATTATTTTCTAAGGCAAAGAAAGGCATGGCTCACAGGAACTCCTACGTGTTATGCAATCTTTTTGATCTATAATGGCTACAGGCTGGGAGACAAAATTCCACAATTTGTTCCTCTGAAATGCTTAGATTGTAAAGAAGCTTTCTCTGCTCCCATAATCCTACCCAATTATTTTCCAGCCTTTTGCCTTCTACATCAATCAGTAATGGATTCCGGGGCCAAGGCACCCATTCAGAAGTTTATTTGTACGTTAGACCCTTATTTTTGCAGAAGTAGACGATTACTTGTGAAAAAAAACCTGGCAAATGGGGCTGAGGGATGAATAGGATTGTTATTATATGCACACAAGCACAGTTTGTATATTCTCCATCAGAACAGTAAAGCTCAAAATGTTCATAACTGCATTTAAAAGTAAAGGAGGACTTACGAGGAGATGGTAATCTTTGTCTCTGTGTCCTGTTCCACTTTCTTTAGGTTGCGGCCCTCCTTGCCAATCAGTCGTCCCACAAAGTTGTTGTGGGCTAGGATTTTCAGAGGTACTTCATCAGCACTGGTATATGAAAAATAAATTAAGTGAATTAAAACTCAAGTGTCAAATTCTTTGCTGGGCATGCAGAAAAGTCGCCCCACTTCAATCACCTGCCTTTCAATAAAGATTGAATAAAGATTATCTAAAACAATAAAGATTATCTAAAACAGTGGAGAATCATAGCCAGGCAGTTGGTATCAATAAAAATGGACCAGATGGACCTACATTGTACAGCAACTGTTTGCAGTTACGACAGTGATGAAAAAGCAACCAATGCCTGTATTTATGATCTTCACAAATCTATAAAATAAAATTGAAGTAATATCATAAGCACAGTGATAGTTTTATTTAGTGACTGTTTCACATAACAACCAAGTTGCTAGTCCCAACTATTGTTGCTAAGTGAGGACCACCTGTATCTTCTAAGAAACCTGTTTTGGCCTCCAATCTTATTCCTCAGTTTATTGCATTGAGAGCAATATGACGTTCCAGCTATTGCAAGGTCAGAACGCAGTTGGACTCGTGTCTTTGGAGCAGTTACTGCTTGATCACAAGAAGAAAGAGTTATACAAGGCAAAAGGAACTTCCATTTCCCAAAGCAGTTCACCAATATACTCTCATTGCTCTATTTACAATTAAGTAATTTTTTGTATCATTCTTAATTTGCATAGTTTCTTCCGAGTTTCAAAGTTAGGGAACAAAAACTGCGAGATGTATGCAGGTATTTATCTTAAAGGAGCCACTATATCTACTGAGTTCCTTCTCATAGACAGTATCCATGAAATCCGACTGACTTGTGAAAGAAAAGAACCTGGTAACAAGTAATCAGAAGCAAAGCAAAACTGGCTACAGAATCTTCCATTTTCTTGGCCTCTCATTGGAAAAGATCTCATGCAATAATGCTAGGAAAAAAATAATAATTCTGGCTAGCCTTTCCAAAAAGCCCTGCTGAGCTTGGCACTGACAATGGCCTATCTTACGTCTTGGTATCTTTTGCCTCTTTCTGCATGATTTCCAAGATCATCTTGCAAGCAGCAGAACAGCCTTCTGGAGTTGAATGGATGCTTATTGCTTTCTCAGCTGCCCCCGCATTTTCCTTCCGATGCACATCAATTCTACAGTGAATTCAAAGAAAAGCAAGAAATCACTCAATTTGAACAGTTGAATATTGGTGTATATATCCAAGGAATCAGAAACTAATTAAAAGGCCATAAGATGCTTCAAAAGCTTGGATTCCTTATCTTTACAAAACACCTCAAATGCCTCATTTCTCATTTGTTCCCAGTTGCCAATTTTAAGCAATGAAACAAATTAGAAAACCCATTTCAATCCAAATTTCAAACTGATTCTGGACTGATTATGATGAATTAGAGATGCCAAGTGTAGATGGAATATAAGCCAAAATGTAATTTTCTGGGTTGGATTTGCTTTGTGCCCTGTATGGAATTTAGCAACACGTGAAAAAGCAGCAGCTAAAATGCTTGCTAACAAAACGATGTCTTACTTGGACTGTGTCTGTTTGGTTATGTTGCGGATGGTGGCACCTTCTTTGCCAATAATGGCTCCCACATACTGGGTAGGAACAAGAAGCCGAAGGGGGATATCTACTGGTTGCTGTTTTACTGGAGCTCCTGAAGCCACAGGAGAACCTTGCCGCGGGGCACCCCGTGTTCCAAAACCACCTCGACGTCCATTCTCTGCACCCTGCACAATCTGTTCATCAGGTATGTACGAGACCTTCAACGCATGGTTTTCCAGTTGATGTCCATTAAGTTTCATGATAGCTCTGGAGAAGAAAAAGAGAGATAAAATGGATGGAGAACTAATCTGTGAGAGGTTATGCTATGATAGCTAGGAAGGAATTTTAAAGGGATAAGGCACCATCAGCCTGGGTTAGCAATTTTATTATTAAATATCTTAGTTGTATCTTATATATCAGTCCTGAAGCCTTTAGGAATCCAACACTCATGTAGAATAAACAGTCTATCCCAAAATTGTCTCAGCAATCTAGAAGCCATGTCAAAGCTTGCAAAAGGAGTCAAAGAATATCCTAAAAGGATTTTTTCACCATTCTTACTGAATAACACACGAATTCATATATGAAAAACCAGAAGCTTGAAAATTTAGCGATTTGTCTCAATTTGAACAGCTATGGGTGTTTTGCTGCCAATCTTAGATATACATTATGGGGAAATAATTGTAAAATTACATTAAAATCAATCATACACAAAAAAGGATAAAGAAAAGCAAACAAAGATGTTTTAAAATCATAGTATAGTAAGTGAATTAAGCCTTTCCTAAACTGAAAACCATCTCCCCATCTCAATGCTGCTTCATCTTTTCCAATACAATCTTTTTTCCCTTGTCTGCTCTTTTATTTTGTCAAAGAAAAATGTAACAAATGGAAAATTCTTTTAATTGACTATTAATTCAAAGTAGGGAATTATATTATTATTACCATATTTTTTGGAGTATAAGATGCACCAGAGTATAAAACACACCAAGGTTTTGAAGAGGCAATTTTTTTTAAAAGGTAGGTAGGTAGATAGAGGGAGAGAGAGAGAGAGAAATCCAATAGGTAGGGAGAGAGAAAGTAGGTAGATAGGTAGAGGGAGGGAGGGAGGGAGAGAGAGAAAGAGAGAGAGAAATACAATAGGTAAGGAGAGAGAGAGAGAGAAATCCAATAGGTAGGGAGAGAGAAAGTAGGTAGATAGGTAGAGGGAGGGAGGGAGGGAGAGAGAGAAAGAGAGAGAGAAAAACAAAAGATAGGGGGAGAGAGAGAGAGAGAGAGAGAGAGAGAGAGAGAGAGAGAGAGAGAGAGAGAG